AAACAACTCCCCCACACTTAGCTTTTTGCTTGTCCTCAAGCAAACAAAATAATAAGTAGTTCGAGAAGAAATATCGAGTGGTTCAAAGTTAACAATCATGCGAAAATGAGAATCTCCTTATCATCCGGTAATCATAGAGTCAAACTCAAATTCGAAAACATGTTCCCCACAAAATGAATTCATACAAAACAAATATCCGTCTCAAGTCATCCTACACATGATTTTCTCGATTCGCGCTCCCTATCGAAACATAAACGTGCAAAAAACCAAATGAGGTCTACTCGACATATTAAGAAAATAAGAACAAAACCCATAAAGTCGACTCCCTTTCTCATTGTTCTCTCTTTTTCTTTTCTTTTTTTTTTTTTAATGAGTTACTTTTTTTCCGAATGAGAGCCATTAGGACGATTATTACTTAGGTTTATCCTCGGGGTTTGTCCCCGAGTCTCCTAAGTCGGTTTCCCGTACTCATTGGTTCGATTTGCCTAGAAGACCAACCGAACCAAGTGGAGTCTAATCCTTCCAACTCTCACGAGCTCATTTTGTGAGTTGTTTTTTCCAAACGAGGTTTTCGGACAATGATTATCTAGGTTTAACCTCGAGGGGTTTTCCCAAGTTTCCTAGACCGGTTTCCCGGGCTCATTATCCCATTCCACGAGGTGGCTCGGGATAAGAGGAGCCTAATCCGTACTTCCTCGCGAGCTCACGTTATTTCTTCATTTTTTTTATTTTTTTTTGGGAGTGGCATAAAATGATACATCCAAAAATATAATCAATTAAATATATTTTGATCTAGATGCACCACAAACAATAGCACAACACGCTTCCAACAATAAACGAGCATACGGTAAGCACAACTCAAGTCAACCAATCGAGAATAACAAGGGACAAAACAATTCTGTGAATTTAAATGCGAGTCCCACCTAACAAATTATCATTTAATTCTAGGATACCGTCAAATTCATCGAGTTCATAACGCACGCAAGTTAACAATGACACCAAATGAAATTCTTAGCTCACCACTTATCCACTTTGGCTATCAAACTCACATCAAGCATTATGAAGGGGAATCGACACAAAAACATGCAAGACTCAAAGCAAAAACCGGTCCACAATACCACTCAAACTAAGAATAGAAAAGCACAAGATAAAATCGCTCCACCACATAATCAATGCATAATCAACAAAAAATCCTCCCCCACACTTCAAACAAAGCAATGTCCCCATTGCTTACCCATAAAAGCGTACGAGAAGAGCAATTAATCATACAATAACCATGCAAAGAAGCAACAAAACGAACTAAAAGACGAAAAAGAAGAGAAACACACAAACAACTAGACACATAAAACAAAGAGAAAGAGAAAATAGAGAAAAGGAAGTGCGTACTCAACACGGTGAATAATCACCGTGTATCCATTGGTGTCTCGTCCGGTGGATCGGAAAGGTTTGGCTCGACGGCCCTTTTTCGCTCAAAAGCTTGAAGACGTGCATCCAAGGCGGCAACATGGTCCTTTATCGTGGTAATCTCGGTGCATACCCCGTCTAAACGGTTGTCCATCGAGCGCATGTGCCGCCACATCCCATCTAAGCGATCCATCATGCGGAGATCAAGGCTCGCTATTTGAGAAGCTATCGCGGCCCACGGATGATTGCCATAGTCGGAGGTCGTGGAAGGTCCGGTCGGATGTGTGGGACATGGAGTGGTCGAGGAAGTTCTGAGGTGCTCTACCGGATGAGGTATCTCCTCGGAATTAGGGTGGCCTATGGTAACATCGGCCGGTTGATCGGCGGTCGGCTCTTGTTGCTCGGTTGCTTCTTGGTGGGGTTCGGAGGAGAGAAGTACTTCACGGTCAATGCGTTCGGCGTTTGTAACCACTTTGCCCTTTTGGTATTCTTCCACCCGTTTGATATAAGCTTTGACGCATTTCCGGTCGTGATGTGGCTTAATTTCATGGCGATCGATAGCAAGGTCCACTTGGAGTAACTCACGTGCCGTTATCGCCCGTTTTTCGACAACCTCTCCCTCTAATGGGGCGTCGAAATAAGCACCGAGAACCGTAATCATGTGGCCGAAGACGGGCTTGAAATGCTTTGCGTTGACGACTTGGGCCATTTTTCTCCACACGTAGGCACACAAATTTACGGGTTTGCCATGCAAAGCACACCAAAGAATAAAAATGTCATCCGTGCTCACTTTTTGTCCATCCTTCTTGCCGAAAATGTTGTAGCAAATGAATTTGTGGATGACCGCTAGGGCGGGATCTTTGATATGACCGGTAACACAATCTATGAATTTGAAATATGGAAGTCCCAACATCTCTAACCAAGCGGACGCCGTGTCAAACTCTTTTGGCACGGAAGTTGGTCCCTCGAAAGAGAGCCCAAAAAGCTCTTCCATCAATTCGGAAGTTACGTCCACCGGCTCGTTATTCAAACGGCACCGTACGATAGTGCCCTTGTCTTCGACTTTGAAAGTGGTGTAGAATTCCCTACACAGTTTCACGTGAGCATTGGCTTGAACTCCGGCATATTTCAACAAGTTGAGATTCTTCAACAAACTTTTGACCCGCGCATAAATTTGAAGATCCGATAGAACAACGGAATCAACATATCGGGGAGGTCGGACCGTCTCCTTTTCTAGTTTCGAGAAGATAGCGGCCTCACGTCGTCCGGTTATGAGGAAAGGTTTGGTCCATACCAACGGTATAATTTCGGTGTCGTTATTGTCGTCGGAACCGGTTTGGTCTGCCGAGACATCCTCCGTAACATTCTCAACTAGAGCATTCGATGTCCCCTCATTAGCCGTGCCCCGTTTTCGCTTAGGAGCCGTTTGTTTCTTTTTCGAGGCCGCGGTCGTCTTTTTCGGAGGCATAATTCAAATGAAAGTCCGACAAGTGTTTTCAATCGAGAGTGAACCTACAAACAAGTTTGACACGTCCGGCAAGACGTGTCTCCAACAACAACTATACGATGGCACAATAGAAAATAAGTCACCACAATATCCCCATTTCCAATTTAAAGTTAATTCAAACAAGAATAAGTCACCGATTTTCCAAATATCTCCGATCAACAAGAATAATTAATCAAACAATTGAGAGTCAAGTTGTTTTACCTCGGTAGCAACTCGGGGCTACCGGAAGGAGAGTTCGGGGCTGTTGGGAATATGAAGAAACCGAGGTCACTGGGGGCGTGAGGTTGCTGTAACTGGGCTGAGGTGGTCGGACACGGGGGCCGAAGAGGTTGTGGGATCGCCGTCGGGTGAGCGCGGAGGTGCAGTCGCAGGCTAGCGTCGGTTGAGAGAGATTGGTTGCTGGGAGCTGAGAATCGGGCTCCTCCGTGAGAGGACACAACCACCGAAAGTCAGAAACATGGACGGGCGACGGTCGCCAGAAGTTGCAGAGAAAAGCTCGCTGTGGTCGAAAGTCGCGGGGCTGAGACTAGAACTCGCGGTGGAGGAGAGGAGCGGGCGCGTTGGGGAAAATCAGAATCGCCGTCAGAGTAGAAATTAGAAGTCGCCGGTTATGGTTAGTGCCGGAATCGAGGTCGGTTGCCGGGAGTTGCAGGATCGCTGATCGTCGGAGATGGCAGTGATTGGGTGAGAGAAGAGGAGAGAGATGCGCAGCTGCGGGTTGAGGTGAGAGAGAGAAGTGAGCTGAGGGAAAAATTAGGGCTTTGACCAAGAGCTGACTTCTGCTTTTATATCTCGCGAAAATACGGAGCTCGCGAACGCGATTTAAAGCCCGCGAAAGTTTAGACCTGTCAAGTTATTTTTACTCGCGAATTTTTTCTAGCTCGCGAATCAGATTTCGAGCCCGCGAAATTTAGCCCCTGTCAAGTGAGCCTCTCTCGCGAATTTTTCTTAGCTCGCGAACCGGATTTCG